CCTTTAAGGGGTCCGGGGCCGGGAGGGGGGCAATAGAGTTTCCCTGGTGTTGGCCAGAGTGGCCACCAGGGAAACCTGGGGAGGGCTATCCTCCCACTAGTTCGAATTAAGGGGCTACACACCCCTTAATTCGAACTAGCTAGTTCGAACTAGGCTTAATCCTCGTAAAATGAGGATTTCCTAGTTCGAACTAAGCGCTCCGCTAGGTTGAATTAAGTTCGAACTAGCGGAGCGCTAGTGTAGCGCCTATGAAAGTTAGTTCGAACTAACAGACGTTAGTTCGAACTAACTCTGTAGTGTAGACATACCCTAAGTAACTCCATGGGGAACAAATATTTAATAGTGGGCTCTTTGATCAACAGGAGAAAGGTCTAATACGATCCAATGACTGGAAACTGAAGCACAACACATTCAGACTGAAAATTTGGGGTACATTTTTGACAGTGAGGGTAATTAACCATTGGAACAGTGGTGGAGTCTCCTTAACTGATCATTTTTAATTTTAGATGGCATATTTTTCTAACATGCCTCCTCCAGTTCCATCAGGAATTAATGCAATGAAGACCTGTGGCCTGAATTATACGGTGAGCCAGACTAAATGACCAGTGATTCCTTCTGGTCTTGGAATCTGAATCTATGAAGCCTCTGCTGGGACCAGGATTCCCAGTTTTCCCCAGTACAGACTGTTTGGGTGGAGCTGGGAATCCCAGTTTCCCCAGAACAGAGGCCCTTGGGGTTCCCATGTCTGAACTGCCTGATACAGAAAGGGGGCACCTGCCCATTAGTCTACCCCAGACTGCAGACAGAAGAGGGTACATCTTCTTGCTCTGAGTCAGGGGCTGTGAGATTGAGAGCAGCCTGTGTGCTGTGCTTGCCAGCGGGCGGCAAACTGGGCAAGCAGCCATGGGGGAAGGAGCAGGCACTGCCCCTTTAAGGGACCCCCAGGGACCATGGGACTTTGTGCACTGGCCAGCCACTCCGAGTGCAAACTCCTGGCGACAAGTACAGAGCAGCAGGGGCAGGCACAGGATCCCAGAGCCCAGATAGGGAGGAGGCTGCTGGGGCAGAGGCGATTGCTTGGGGAGTAGGCTGGGGTAGGGACAGGAGCACAGAGCCTAGAGAGGAACAGGAGTCCACACTGAGGGAGGAGATCCTGGGGCAGGGATGGGGCTGCCCAGAGTGCAGATGGGGCTGAGGCATCAGGGCTGTTTAGCAGGACCAGGGCTGCAGGGGCATCAGGGCTGGCTAACTGCCCAGCTCTGTCTTGCCCTCGGCCTGTTCCTGGCAGAGGTGGTGAGCAGCCAGGTCACAGGCTCTCTGCTGGCTCTCTCCTGCTCCCTCCAGACACTGGGGCTGGTGCTGGCACTGGGGTTAGCTCTGCTGGATAGCCAGCTGGCCTGCAGAGCACACTGCGATTCCAGGAACACCTTTGGATGGGTGAGGGCCCGAGTGGCAGGGACCCTGGTGTGCAGCGTGTTCCTGACAGCACTATGCCTGGCCCTGCTGCTCAGGGCACTGCAGCGGGCAGGGCATCCCCAAGTGACAGAGCGGCCCCTGACACTGGTGGGAGTGGGGACTGCAGGGCTCTTCTGCCATCTGGCTGGGCTGAGGGGGCCCGAGTGGCAGGGACCCTGGTGTGCGGCGTGTTCCTGACAGCACTATGCCTGGCCCTGCTGCTCAGGGCACTGCAGCGGGCAGGGCATCCCCAAGTGACAGAGCGGCCCCTGACACTGGTGGGAGTGGGGACTGCAGGGCTCTTCGTCCATCTGGCTGGGCTGAGGCTGGATGGGCAGCACTGTCTGGTCGGGGAGAGTCACCGCAACAGCAATGTCAGCACCAGCAGAGGGAGTTCAGCCACAGACACCTCTGCCCAGGAGACACAAGGTGAGTCCTGCTGAGGGGGAGTGGTACGAAGCCAGCCTGTCTCTCAGCTAGAGGGAGGGCGGAGGTGGGGGTGGTATTCCTAGCAGAATGTTAGGAATCATTAAAAAAGGGATAGAGAACAAGACAGAGAATATCTTATTGTCTCTGTATAAATCTATGGTACGCCCACATCTTGAATATTGTGTGGAGATGTGGTCGCCTCATCTCAAAAAAGATACATTGGCACGGGAAAAAGTTCAGAAAAAGGCAACAATTAAGGGTTTGGAATGGCTGCCATATGAAGAGAGATTAAAGAGACTGGGACTTTTCAGCTTAGAAAAGAGGAGACTAAGAGGGGGATATGATAGAAGGCTATAAAATCATGACTAGTGTAGAGAACGAAAACAAGGAAAAGTTATTTACTTGTTCCCATAACATAAGAACTAGGGGTCACAAATTAAATTAATAGGTAGCAGGTTTAAAACAAGCAAATGGAAGTTTTTCTTCATGTAACACACAGTCAACCCATGGAACTCCTTGCCAGAGGATGTTGTAAAGGCGGGACTTTAACAGGGTTCAAAAAAGAGTTAGATAATTTAATGGAGGATATGTCCATCAATGGCTATAAGCCAGGATGGGTAGGAATGATGTCCCTAGCCTCTGATTGTCAGAAGCTGGGAATAAGGGAGAGGTGGTGGGATCACTTGATGATTCTCTGTTTCTGTTCACTCCCTCTGGGGCATCTGGTATTGGCCACTGTCAGAAAACAGGATACTGGGCTAGATGGACCTTTGGTCTGACCCAGTCTGGCTGTTCTTATGTTTATCCCCCTCACTCACTCCCTCCAACTAAGACCCTGCATCCCTACCCTCCTCCTGCCCCCTCCTAAGAGGCATAAGGGAGCGGACGACAAAGGCTTCCCCTGTTGACCGATCCGCGTCTTGACTCGTGCGCTGTGCCAACGATCAGCTGAGCCAGTGAAGCGCGGTGGCCATTTTTATTGTAATGAAGCCGGGGATATTTAAATTCCCGCTTCATTGACTATGTCGGGTAGCCTAGTTTACATGCCTCTGTCGGTAGAGGCATGTAGTCTAGACATACCCTTGGGAACTACCTGTTCTGTTTATTTCCCCTGGGGCACCTGCCATGAGCCACTGTTAGAAGACAGGATACTGGGCTAGCTAGACCTTTGGTCTGACCCAGTATGGCTGTTCTTATGTCCTGGTATGACGCCAGGTCAGGCCAGCTGTGTGTGTGGAGCAGGGTGGTTGAGGGAGGATGTGGGAGGGAGGGTTACTAGGCCATTCCTTCAGCTGTGGGTGGGAGAGTTTGCTTGTGTGACCGATGAATCCCTTAGGCTACATCTACACTAAGCAGGTTTTAAGTAGCCCTGTTGCTAAGAGTTGGTACATGTGAATGCTGTTGTAGGACTTTTGCAGACAAATACGTTGAGCCCCCACAAGGTGCTTTTGCTTTGTCAGCAGGAGAGCCAACAAAGCAGCATTACACTGGGATTTGCTGCCCCAAAATTTTTCTCATTTGGCCAGGGGCTGAGGGGTGGGGGAGGAGTTAAGCACCAATGAATGACAAAAAGTTTGTGGATCGATTGCAAGTGTAGACAAAGTCTCTTTGCTCCTTGCCCCATACTGATCCCTGCCCTTTGCCCCTCAGCTGTAGCGTGGGATGCTGCTCCTACACTCCTTTCACACTTCTTCCTTCCCCCACACAGACCTGCTGGGGAACAGGCAGCCCTGGCTAAAGGATGGGTGCTTGCCAGCAGAGGAGTCTGGTGCCTGGCTGGCCCTCTGCCTTCGCTTCGTGTCTACCTCCTTGGGCCCTGCTGCTGTGCTGCTCTATTCGCTTGCCTTCCACCTGCTGTGGCCCCCATTCACAGAGCATGTGACTTGTCTGCCCCCCTGCACTGGGATGCTGTGCCAGCCCCTGGGCAGCTCTGCAACATCCATGGCAGAGCTGGGGCCCTGCTGGCTTCTGTACCTGGACCCTGGGCTTTGTGTGGCTGTGGTACTAGCCTTGATCCTTTTGGCTGCCCCATCCCTGCGGGACTCAGCCCTGGTGCTTCTGCAGGCCGTGCCTGACCATCTGGATCTGTGGCAACTTGAGTCGCATCTCAGGGGCACAGAAGGGGTGGCAGCCCTGCGTGAGCTCCATGTCTGGCAGCTGGACAGTGCCCACAACCTGGTGGCCACAGCCCATGTCTGGTGCTTGGATGCCACCTCCTATGGGGCCGTGGTCCGGAGGATCCAGCAGGTGTTCTGGGAGCATGGAATCCACACAGCCACCGTGCAGCCCGAATTTGGTGCACTTCAGGGATCCTGCTGCCTGGCTGCAGGTAGGGGGGGTGGTGAGGCCCCCAGGAAGAGACACCCATCACTGCCCTCCCTCCTCCCCACGGTGATTCTCGAGTACGAGACCACAGTGTGAGCCATGGGAGCCGCCTCAGAACCAGCACTGTGAGGAGTGAGAGGGGGAATGGCAGCGACTCCACATGAACAGCCTCTGCTCCCCCCATGCCTCAGGCAGATTGGGGAGTTGAGAGCTGCTGCTCTTTGCCTGCCCCAGGCAGTGCCTCTGCCCCTGTGCGATTCCTGGTGGAGGAGCCAGCGCCGTGGAGAGAGGGGAGCAGTGCGGTGCTGGCAGCCCTAATGACAGAAAATGAAGAGAGGAGCAGAAAGTGACTTCCCAGGCTCAGCTGCACAATGGGGCTTTGGAAACTGCTGCGCTTTGGACAGAGCTGCCCCTGGACTCCACACTCAGGAAGGTCACGGCCCAGGATGGGGCTCCCCTCCGGACAGGACATGCCACAGGACGAGGCTGATGTGGGGCTGCTCCTTTTAGATGGCTGCAGTCCCTGTAAATAAATAGCATGGAGCTGCCTGCCAGGATGTTGCTCTTTATTGCTTGGCAACAGCCCCAGGGATTGGAGCACCGGGAGGGAGGTCAGGGACTAGCCTGGGCTGTGACTCCCTTTTGGCTGATCCCGTCATGTGCTGCCCTGGAAAGCATAGCACCCTGTGTGGAGAGAGGGGAGATGGGGCAGTGTCAGCTCCTGGCGTGTGTTCTGTGACCTCACATAGGCTGGAGCCTGTCTCCCAACCTCCCCAAGAGCCCTGACCCCACAGGGGCTGGGGTGTGTCACCCTTCCAGCAACATCACACAGCCTGGAGTGGGTTCTGCATATCCCCCACCCTCCCACAGAGCCCCACCCCACATGGGATGGCATGTTACCTCCTGTCCCTTGGGGCTCCTAATCTATCCAACCCCTCACCCAGGGGTCTCTTACCCAATCCCTGCTTGCTACTGTTTCAGGACCTGGCTGATGCCTTCACAGATGCGCTGCACTTTGGCATTACTGTCCACGTAGCCATCGCCATTCTGTGGGAGCAGGGGACGGGTCAGTCTGTGTTGCCCATGATGCCCCTGCTCTCCTGCCTTCCTGCCCAGTCCCCCCGACACTGAAGATGTGTCCCCCTACTCTGGCTCCGAAAACAGGGATGTGCCTCCAGCAAGATGCTCCTGCCCAGCCCCCCAAAGCAGATGTGCCTCCCAGAAGAGTGCCCCTGCGCAGTCCCCCTCTGAGCTGAGGATGTGCCCCCAGCACAGTGCCCCCAGAACTGGGGATGTGCCCCCAACACAGTACCCCTCAGCTCCCCCAGAGCAAGGGATGTGCCCATAGCATAGTACCCCTGCCCAGCAGTGTTCCCTGTAAGCTGAGCAGTTGGGCGGCCACCCAAGAGAGATTCAAGTGTGGCTGTATTGGTGGTGCATATCCACTCATGCTTTAGTGCACATAGCAACATTTATTCTGCACATGGATGGAAACAATTAGAGGGAACATTGCTGCCCAGCCCCCAGCTGGCAGGTGCCCACACACAGCGCCCACCGGGTACTCACGATCTTGGAGTGCAGGACCCGGCCGCTGTCCGGAAGAAGAATCTCGAAGGCCCCAGAACTGGGAGCCATTTCCCCTGTCTGGGAGAGAGCAAGTATGTGGTGACCAAACTGCAGGGTGCTGAGCCCTATGGAGAACTGTCCCAGAGTGGGGGGTGAAATCATGAGGGGCCAAGGGGCATGTGATCCCCACACTAATTGGAGGATGCCCTTGGGGGCTCAGGTGAGCAGTGTGGGGCTTGCTGCTCTAATCCTTCCCAGAGCTCCCAACCCTGATTTTCTGTCCCTCCTATGCCCGCTGCTCCCCTCCTGCACCTGGTTCCCTGCCCTCCTGCACCTGGTCCCTCAACCCATGCCTGATCCAGGGTGACTCACAATCTCCAGCTGCTTTGGGAAGCGTTTCTCTAGGAACTCCTGCAGCTGCAGGAACTAGGGGGAGTAGAAGGAGAGATGGGGGAGGGTCAGTGAGGTGTGGAAGGCCCTGCCTCTGTTCCCCTTTCCCCAGCCCAGGGAGCCTGTTAGGCCCACAAATCCCCTCTGCCCTCTGGCATCACCCAGGGTATCCAACTCCTCAGAGGGGGAGACGCTACCAGCCGTGCAGTCCAACACCTTCTGCAGGAGGGACCCTGGGGGCAGATTGCTAGGGAAAAGAGCCTGGGGAGCCCCCACAGATGAAGACATGAAGGCCCAATGAAAGCCAGGGGCACATGGAGCACTGGAAGGGTGCAGAGGGGAAATGGAGGGACTACAGGCTGAGTCTCTCACTGGGGGGGGGGGAGAGGGGGAGGATATACACTGTACTCACCCGGCTTCTGTATCCTCAACTGCCACTACAAGGCAAATGGCGCATCAGTGTGAAGCGACACCATGCTGAGAGGGAACCCCTATGGGCAGGGGGGCTGGGGTTTGGGCAGAGGCCCAGTGGCAGGGGGAGTCAGAATTGAGGAGATGGGAAGGGAAGCTGAGGCAAGGACCCAGTGCCTAAGGTGGACTGTGCCCTTAGGGGGGCAGTGCTGGATGCTAATTGGAGGTACCAGGGGGCAATGCCAGGTAAGAGGTGCCCATGAGGACTCAGAAGTGTATGGGGTGTGCTCATGGGTTCTGGCTGAGGGGTTCCCATGGAAGGTGGTGCTCGGTAATGGGTGCCCCTAAGGGTGGTGATGTATGGAGCATGACCATGGAAATTGTTCTGGGTGAGGGTGCCCATGGGAATGAAGCTGTATGGAGTGTGCCCTGGGGGGGTAAGGCATGCCGATGGGAGCAATGCTGCATGAGGGGTGACCCTGGAGGGAGTGCTGGGTGAGCGGGGCGAGGGGGACAGTGTTCCCTGCAAGCATTCGGCAGCCACTCAGGAGAGATTCGAATGCTGATTAGCAGAGCACTCACAGCTAGGTTTGTGTTTCTACTGGTGGTGCACATTCACAGATGCCTCAGTGCACATAAAAATTATTCCACACATGGATGGAAAAGAATAGAGGGAACACTATTATGTGTGTTGTGCTGGGTGAGGAGTGCCAATGGGGGTGGTGTAGGGATGCCCTGGGGGCATTGCTGAGCTAGGGGTGTCTATGGGGTGATGCCAAGAGAGGGGTGCCCATGGGGGTGATGCCGGGTGAGGGGTGCACATGGAGTGATGCTGGGTGAGAGGTACCCGTGAGGATGCTGGGTGAGAGTGCCTATGGGGCAGTGCTGAGTAGGAGATATGGGTGGGGGTAACGCTGCCACTCACCAGAAGATGATCCGCACTTGGAGGCGCGGGGCAGCCATGATGATGCTGGAGGCTGCAGGAGAAGGGGGGTTAACAGCTCGGAACCAGCCCGGACTAGGGCGGCCCACTCACCCTGCCACGGGGGAAAGGCAACTTCAAGGGCAGCTTCCCCCTCTGGGAGTCGACTTCTCCCCCAGCATCCCAGCAGCTTGGGCCAGGGTTTGGGGCCACGGGAATGGAGGGGTGTCTCTCAGGTTAAAGCCCTTACCTGCCCGTATGGATTGGTCTGGGCAATGGGGGAGTCCTAGTTGCTAGGCAACTTCCTGAAAATTCTGTATGGAGGTTATGCCCATGGACCCTGCCCTTCTTACAATCTGGCCCTCTACTCCTGCCCCCCACCAGATTGTGCCCCTCCACCCAGTATCCCTCCCCACAACCTCCCCCCTCATGCTTTCTCTTCCCTTTCTGCTCCCCCTTTGCCAGCTATTTCCCCTGGATCTTTCTTCCACTGTCCTGTCCAGCCCCTGCTCATTTTCCCTGGCTTCAGCCATCTGTGTGTGTTTAACCCCCTACTCTTGCAGAAAATCTTGTGGGGATCCTGAGTGACCCCATGTGTGGGGGTGGGAGAGACAGCAAGAGCTGTCAGAGTCTGCCCTGCGGACACCTGGCAATAGCATGTGGGCCAAACTGCCAAGGCCCCTGGGTCTGGGCTGAGTCAGGGCACTGTATCTAAGTGGACTCCCTGGTGCAGGACCCAGGTCTGAGCCCTTCCTTAGGATGAGGAAGACCCCACAGTCTGGCTGCCTTACACCTTAGAGCCAGCACCCCAGCCTGGACACATCTCAGAGTCCCCTAGGACACAGGTGCTCTGGATATGTCCCCCCCAGAGGTCCCTGGGCTGCACGTGCTCCAGGGACCAGGTTCTTGACAATGTGGCTGCTCAAATTTTTTATTTGAGTGGCTGACCAAAGCCCTGGGTCCCGGGGTGGGTTCTAGCTGGGAGGAGCCTGGACAATAGAGTCTGGGCCCTTTGGTACAATCCTGTGTATTTCTGTGGAATGCACAAAGTCCTGTTCCCCTGAATACAGGCAGTTCCAAACAACAGGAGGCCGGGTCCTTGCTTACTGCCCCAGACGCAGCCCTTCAAAGTGCTCTAAGCTTGCTCCAGGCTTGTGCTGCCAATGCCAGTTGCTTGTTCAGTCTGTGTTTGGTTTTGGCTTTGTCCTGCTTCCCTCTTACCCAAATACCTTGCATAGCCCTTCGCCCACATAAGCCAAGTTCTTAGGCGAGCTGGCGTACTCCTTGGCTCAGGTGGGGCTGCCTAGCAGTCTCGTACAGTAATCTTCAGTGAGGCATGGCAATCACAACAGTGGAAGGAGATTTGGCCCAGCCTGCAACCAAACAGGGGCTTGGCCGAGGCATTTCTGAACTACAGGCACATTACTCTTAACCAAGCCACCTAGAGATCCACAAATCAATAGACACCACAGAGCCCTGACGTCAGCTTCCCTCCTCCGGCAGATCTCCTAGGAGGTCTAGGAGTGCCCTCCATCTTCAAGCCATACCACCCTGCCTCCTGTTAGCCAGGCAGCCACGAGAAGATGGAATGACCTCACTTAGGGAAGCCCCCACCTCTTTTAAAATAATCTTGGGCCCTGTTTTACCCATGTGCTTTCTGTGAGATGGTCAGTCCAAAGTAACAGCCCTCTAGGTAGCAAAGCCACTGTCCTAACTGGGGAAAGCCATCTGTCTTGTAGGCCCTTTGCCATCAAGCAATTAAGATGCATGCCACTAGGTGCCCAGCCCCACTATATAGTGGCCATACCAATCCACTACGGTAATTGTAACATAACTTTCACAGACCCAGGTGGAGGTCACACAGACATTCCTTCCAATCTGTCACACAGTGGATCATGAATTTACACCTAGGGATGGGAGCCAGGTCTCCTGCATTGTATCTCCAGCTCCAGGAGTGGAGTGAGATCTAGTGAGGTAGATCAGAGCAGGCTGGGAGCCTTGGATTCAAGGGTTCTTTTCACAGCTGTGCCCTTGACTGCATGGTTGTGTCTGTCTTTCACAACTGTAACATCCTCTGAGCTTTCCAGGCAGAGAGAGAGAAAGAGTCTATCTGTCTGTCCTCTTGCCACTCCCATGGCCACTACTCTAGTGTGTATGACAGACTGGGGGTCCCTGAGTGGCTGAAGTTTATTGTCTGGGGCCTCAGGCTGGGTAGCCCCTTCCTCCAGGCTTCAAGACCAAGTGACAGGGGTTCTCATCTCAGCATGGGACAGCTACTCAGGGCAGAGAAACTGATCTGTATTGTGGGGCTCAAGGTGGATGGTTGCTCTGTATGCTTGAAGCACCATTCACAGGGCAGGTCCATCATGAGAACAGGCAGGGGCTGATGCCTCCCCCTCCTTCGCCATCACAGCTTTTCCTGTCCCATCCCCTGCTTTGCTTCAGCTGGACCCTTTCTTTTCCTTCCCTTCCCATGGCCCCTTCTGACACTGCTCCCCCACCCCCAACTACCTCATGGCTCGGTTAAACTGCCCCCTTCCATGCCTGCTGGGACAGAGTCGAGGCCTTGGCCCTGGGCCCAGGCTAGTGTGGGGAGGTATGTAGGTCAGACAGGAAACTTTCCAAGCAGGGAATGAAAGAGGCTTTGTTCCCCCCACCCCTTCCAGCCCCAGTCACTGGTGCCACCCTTAACTCTCTGTACACTGGGCTCCCACTGCAGCCAGCATTGCAGGGCACCAAGGGACACTCGTAGAAGACGGGCTGGGGCAAATGCACAGGCATGAGGCAGAGAGGGTTACAACAAGGTGTGGCTTATTGTCCGTGTGGAGGGGGCAGGTGGGATTGTTACAGTGAACATATAAGTCTGTGTCAGTGCCTGACAGTGAGTGGGGGTAAGGTGTGTAGGTAACATGGTGTGTGTGTGTTTTTCAGTGAGCATGTGGACCTGTGCACAATAGGTCAGTATGTGGTACAGTGAGTGTGGTGTTACAGGAAGTGTGTGTGGCATATGTGTCTTGGTGAGTGTGTTTTTGGTATGTGTGTTATGTGGCGTGTGTATGGTGGAGTATTTGTGTATACGGGCAGTCCCCGGGTTACGTACAAGATAGGGACTGTAGGTTTGTTCTTAAGTTGAATCTGTATGTAAGTCGGAACTGGCGTCCAGATTCAGACACTGCTGAAACTGACCGCCAGTTCTGACTTACATACAGAATCAACTTAAGAACCCCAGGCGTCCCCAAGTCAGCTGCTGCTGAAACTGATCAGCAGCTGATTCCAGGAAGCCCGGGGCAGAGCAACTCTGCTGGCACCGGAGCAGCGAGAAAGCCCCGTTCGTAAGTGCGGATCCGACGTAAGTCGGATCCGCGTAAGTCGGGGACTGCCTGTATATGCAATAACATGTCACTTACTTTTGAGATATTTTCTGCAATCTGGTAGCTAAATATTTATTTAGTTTTAATTTATTTATTCTTCTTTGAAAACCATGTTCTTTCGAAATCAGTTCACCTTATCGATAATTTTAAGTTCTGCTAGTGATTAAATTTGTATCTAGTTAAAGGGATGGGGACCTATGGCCGCCGGGTCCCCCTGGTCGGCTGGAGACGGTCTCCAGCAGACCAGGGGCACCGGAGCAGCTTACGAACGGGGCTTTCTCGCCCCGACCTCCGGGGCGAGAAAGCCCCGTTCATAAGTGTGGATCCGACATAAGTCAGATCCGCGTAAGTCGGGGACTGCCTGTAGTGGGCATATGTTGGTGTGTGTGTTACAATAAGGATGTGTAAATGAGCAGGCATGCCTTACAGCGGGGGGGTTCCAGTGAATGCCCATGACTGTGAATGTGAATGTGTTCCAGTGAGCGTTACAAAGTGTGTGTCAGTGTGTGTGGGGTGCTACAGTGAGCATATGTTGAGTGTTTGTGTTACAGTGAGTGTGTTGCAGTGTGCGCATGTGTGTTTACCTATGGGCTTCACAACTTTCCACGCAGGAGATTGTCCCAAAACACAAAGCTCTTTGTAGCGAGGTGCTGCCTGGGCAATCACTCTGCCCGACTGAGCAAAGCTGAAGTGCACCATAGGTTCCGGAGGCCCCAGCAGTGAGATGCAGACACACACTAGTACCTGGCCCTTCATCCAGGTCCGAATGCAGAGGGGCAGGCCCTGGGCTCACGCCCCAGCCTGGGCAGGCAAGTGCCAGGCTCAGTGGCTGCAGATGAGTGTCAGGGCGATGCTGGGAAACTCTGCCAGTGCAATGGCTGCTAATGCGTGACACATGAGTGACTCAGGGCTGGGTTCTGCTGGGCTCTGTGCTCACCATTGAGATCCTGCAGCCAGCGTGGTGAGCATGCACAGCCTGGCCAGGCAGCAAGAGTGACACAGCACAACCTGGCCAGGCAGCAAGAGTGACACAGCATGTGTGTGAGCGACACTGTGTCTGTCTACAAGGGGCTGGGAGGGGAAGTGGCTGGGCTTTGGCCCCCTTAGCACATCCTGTGTGTACATATCCACGTCTGTGGCATTCCCGGTGCCTGTGTGTCATTCTGAATATCTGCTTGGCTCTCTGCGTGGCTGTGTGTGTCATGCTGGGTGGGCATGTGTTACTCCTTGTGCTTGAACGTGCAAGAAAAGGGAAGTGGCTGCACTTTGGCCAGTTATTACAGCGCATCCCATACCAACAGCTTCCTGTGCCACGGAGTGGTGAGGTCTCCCTAGATTACACAACATGCAGCATGAACTGCTGCCTCATCACAATACAGGAGTAACCCCTTTCCCAACTGCCCCATCTCAGTGACAATCCAATCCCGGGGTCCCTCGCACTTCAGCCCCACTGGGCCCAGCGCACACTAGACAGGGGGATCTCCTACCCAGCCTAACCTATTAGCACCAGGCTGCCAAGCCCCAAATGCCAACAGTATCAAGTCCATGCATTCAGGCCTGCTGCCTGGCACAGTAAGGCTGAGCTCTGCCCCAGCACCTCACTCCTGCCTGTGCCTGGGACCTGAGAGCCATCTCCCAAACACACCAGCTGGGCTAGGCTGCCCCTCACATACCTAGGCACCATGGCTTCCCCAGCAGTCAGGGCACGGGGCAGGGCTATTTCACAGGAACACCAAGAGCAAGGAAGACAGGCACTGCAGGAAGCTACAGCTTGTTATGCTCACTGCCTTCTGGGCTGGGGCCATCTCATGAACATCTGGGATAGATCATGTTTTCCAGGCCATGGTTCAAGGGCCTTTATGACGCTGCTGGGTGCGGCTATAAGCAGAAAACCCAGCAGAGCAGACAGGCTGTCCAAGGGGGGGGACCCCAATGGAGGGGCACCACACTGATTCACTGCACCATGCAACCGAGACGAGCTGAAGGAGACAAGGGACAAATCTGCAGCCAGGACATTGCTTCTGGGCTTTATTCATCTCTAATTCCTTAACACTAACAAGTTCACAACCGGCCACAATGGCTCCTCCCAGGGCAGGGTTCTCCCCACTGTACCAGCCTGGCTATGTGGGGAAGGTGGTCCCAGGGTGCAGCCGGCATGCCTCCAGACATGCCACAGCAACTGGGTGACTCCCCCCACAACAAGCATGGGAAGCCCCAGGCAATCCCTCTTCCCGCTGGAGCCAGCACAGGCAGATGGTGCGGGATGGAGGGTGCCCACCTGTGGGACCATTACTCAAATAACTCATACTGGCTGTCAAGGACCTTTGCTTATGGGTCCCTGTGGGGCCTCCTCACAGCCCTTGATGCTTCATTATATAAATAAATAAATAAAATAAATAAATGTTGAGGGGGGCATCAGGACTTGAGCAGCTTCACCCCATATGGAGTGGAGAAGGACTCTGTGCCCTGGCTGGGTCAGGGACTGCCTCCCGCTAACTCCACATCTCTGCCAGCCCTGCTCCCCACTGCACAGCACAGTCCATGGGGGCTGGCTCTGATCCAGGCCAGAAGTATATGAGTTTGGGAGCTGGAGGGCTCAGGAGTCCCTACAGCTGCTCCTCACCCCCATATGAGCCATTGGCCACCCCAGCTGGCCCCACCTCCCCATTCAGGATATTGTCCCGGGAGCCATGGAACTGCCGTCTCCTCACACGCAGGGCAAAGTGCCAGATCAGCGCGGCCACCACCACCAGGCACAACATGGCTGCCAGTCCTGCAGCCACATATGCGTAGGGCTGCTGAGAAGCCAAGGTGCGGATAGTGCGGCATGGTCCATGGGCCTGACTCCCACTGTCAGTGGGACTGGCACCCGCCTGGTTGGCTGCTATGATGCACACCAGGTAGGAGGTGCTGGGGCACAGTCCTCCAAGCGCTGCCATCCGGAAGGTGCTGTTGAAGATGGGACCAGCAATGGGGGGCTCTCCATCGGCCTGGTACATCACTCGGTACTCCCGCACTGTGGAAGAAGGAGCACACCAATGCAGGCTGGCCCCAGACTCGGTGATGTGCACTGTCCCCAGCTGGGGTGGCTCTGGGGGCACACCTGGGCCAGTCACCCCAGGGCACAGGCAGCCCGTCTCCCTGCTCAACTCTGCACAGGCTGGCTGTAGGTGGCGGCAGCGATGGTAGTCACAAGGCTGATCGGGTGGGGACTGAGAGCCAGGCATCTTGGGGGTATCTTGGGTGAAGTCCTCATAGCTGTAATAGTCTGTCTCCAAGTCATCCTGGGAGGTGGGGAAGACAAGAGGGCTGCTTGCCTGGGCATGGAGCCAGGGCCAGTGGCTCTGGCCCTTTGGAGGAAGAGGCAGGGAGCCTCCCATACTCGTTGGAGCTGCCCCTGGGCACAGGATCAGGAGGCAAGTGGCAGTGAGGACTGGAGCTGAGAGTCCCAAGAGGATGGTCATGGTTCCTGGAAGAGAGAGGATGGGGTGGGTGTCTGAGGAGAGAAGGGCTGGGAAAGGTCTGATTCCCCCAGCAGAGAACTGTGCCCCACTCCTGCCTCCTTACAAGATCCCAGGGGAGCAATATGGGCCCTGGGATATATGGGCCTTGGGAGCCAGGGCAAGATCCCTTCCCCTATTTCCCACAAGAGGAAACTGAGGCACAGACTGGCAGGAACTCTCACAAGCTGCCAGTCAGTGGCTGAGCTGGGGACAGAACCAAGGGGGCCCTGACTCCCAACCCCTCCCTTCCTGGAGCTGGGGACAGAACCCAGGAGTCTTGGCTCCAGGAGTCCGTGTGTCCCTACTGGGGCCTGGAACCACAAACACAGGGCTCCATGCCACCCACAGGCCCTGCCCTAAGGGAAGGGGGGACTGGCTGCACCAGCCCAGCGACCCTCACAAGGAGACACGCCTGGAGCTGTAGGGACCAGTGGCCTCCAGGCAGGTGTCCCTGGGCTCCGGAGACGGGGGCTCCCTGCCTCACTCACCTGGTGCCTGCTGAGGGAAGAGTCCGGTCTCAGGACACGGGGCGGCGGGGCCGATAGGACTCCCCACTAGAAATCGGGGTTCTCGTCTCCGGGGCGCGGCGCTGCTCGGTTCGGCTATAGAGTCTCGTCTCTGCTTCGCTCCCGCAGGCGCCGGCAAGTTTTTT